TTGAGTTCCACAAGAGAGAAAGGCAGCTAATAAATGTGTTAAATCAATCCATCATGGCTATTAAAATATTGCAAAGGAGTCACTGCGTACTTAATTATGGATAGTGAATGCCTGGCTAGTTCAGGGAATTTTCCCCAAATCATTGAAGGAGGGGATTATCAGACCTCTGTTGAAAAAGTCTACATTGGATACTCAAGCGCTAGCTAATTATAGGTCCATTTTTAAAAAGCAAGATTACTGAATGGGTGGTGGCTGAGCAGATTCAGAGGCATCAGTGTGATAAATCAGCCCCTGATCTATTTCAGTATGGCTTCTGTTTTATTCTGTTGGGTTCCTTGAGTCCCAGTTGAGTCAGAGGTAGGCCTTTCAGTATTTTAAGTAAAATAAGTGGCTGAGTAGGAATTTGAATGTGGATCTCCCTGGTTCAAGTCAAACACTCTTCTACTCAGTACAACACACTAGATCCTGTTCTGTTCTTACGGGAGAGGAGTCAGAGGAGAGAATAAGATGATGAATGTTTACTCCTGAAGAAAAGAGCATTTTTGAACCAGGACCTAGTCTACCTCTTTCAGAGTTCCTATGTCCACCATGGAAAGCATCTGATCTAGAAATAAGGGAATTAATTGGGCATTGGTTGGGGAAGAGGGTCATGTACTGAAGGTTATAAAGAGGGTTGGAACAGAATAAGGCAGAATACAACCTCTACAAGTACAACTCGGTGATGAACAAAAGTCCCTAGGAAGGGATGTAGTAGATCCCACTCCAGTAAAATTTAAGAAGAAGAAGAGATTGGATTTATACTCCGCCCTTCACTACCTGAAGGAGTCTCAGAGTATTTTATAATCCCTTTCCCTTCCCCTCCCCACAACAGACACTCTGTGAGGTAGGTTGGACCGAGAGAGCTCTCCCAAGAACTACCCTTGAGAGAACAGCTCTGAAAGAACTTGTAACTGACCCAAGGTCACATCAGCAGCTGCATGTGGAGGAGTGGGGAATCAAATCCAGTTCTCCCATATTAGAGTCTGCGCTCCTAATCACTACACCAAAATGAAGAAACTGTTCCAAAATTAATGGTATATAACTTTATATTTAAAAGGAATTTAAACCAATTAGGACAAAAATGAAAATGTCACTCCTCTCATGCAAGAAATCCTTCCATGTGTAGAAGCCATCTTTGTATCCAACCCATGATTTCTTGTCCTTTTGTCAGTAAAGGCAACGTGAACTGATTGTTTTTCTATGAAATCTGTCAGCATTGTTGTCTTGGAGAGCTTAACGTATGCTGCAAACATGATCAGAAGTTGTGTGTGTGTGTGTGTGTGTCTGGTTTTTCTAAACTAGACTTTTATTATTGGGCTATATGGGTTTATCAGTGACTGAGGACAGATTTTATTCACCGTTGGGGATGGAATGGTAATACTTCATTTGAGTCAAGTTGAAATGAATTTTTGTAGTGGGCATGAGTTCCACAGAGTTAAGGTTTCTCATGTGATAATGGTGATTTTGATGTGGGCACCTGTTCATTAAAAATGGAAATAAATCTCTTCTTTACTTTGAGCAGTCCACCAAACAGACATCATATGGCTACAATTCAGTCACTAATGACCTGAGGCTAAAATAATTAATTAGTCTTCCATGTACTCTCTCATTATGCTGTCATTTAGAGGCAAATGTAATGTCATACTGAGGGTAACTAAACAAGATTCGTGAAGTTCTTGTGACCAGTGCTTAAATCGTCTCTTGTCCCTGATAGTAAGTTCCTCTTTCCTTTATCACAAATAATATACATTTATAATATACATTTGCTGTAAGAAAAACACTGAGGTTACTTGAATAGACAGAGCTTTACCTTGCCCTCTCCTCTGTTAGGTCTAATGGTGCTTAAAGTTTAGAGTCCCCTTGTTTAACATGTGTGTGGTACATTTCCATTGGTGTTTTTCTTTTTAACTTCATCCACAGTCCGTTGATATCCATATCCAGAAAGAGTCAAGTATTCTTTCTTTATGTGTTGCTTAGTTATAAGATCCCTTTGCTGCTTCTGTAGTGGCTTATGAAACAGCTAAAGTTATATATGAGACTTCCTTGATGGTAACACGCATCGCAAAACTCATCCAACCTCATCTGCTTTTCAATTTACGCTCAAGTGCCGTGGGATGCTTGGGTTCGGTTGTAGCTGATCAGCCGCAGGTCCGGAGGATGGCACAGCTGTTGAAGGCGCATTTAGCCATTATATCCAAGCACAGATTTTTGATTCAGGAATTTCATGTTTCTGATTTCCTGTTCAGAATGCAGCGTTCGAAGAGCTGTCACCGTGGGTGGGATTTGTGTGTCTACACTTTGGATATCATACTGTAACTAGGAACTGGAAAACGAATCCAATTCTGGCATTTGAAATCCCTGATTCTATGTGACAGTTGTCTCCGTCGTGCTTTGATGGAGCCCTTGGCTCTGGATGAAGGGCTGGCCATCCACTAGACAATCATCTAGGGCACCTGAGGTACAGGGGTGCCAACCAGCTCTGTTGCCTCCACCAGCCCACGGTGAGGGGTTTGCCATGGCAAGTGGCAGCCCCTGAGGCACTCCCCCCCATCCCAGTGGGCAACTATGGGCAATCTGTTCTTTCCATCCCTCCCGGGGGGGGGGGCAAGACAGGCCTGGCTTGGCCTTCTTTCTTCTCCTCCTGCCTTGCTTCCTCACCTTGCCTCACAGGGGACAGCAGATGGCAGCTTCTCTGCAGTGCCTCACTGCCGCCTGACTGCCACCTTGCTGCACAGGGTGGGACACACACACAAAAAATCCTGTGATGTGAATACTATTAAGAAGATTTATATAATTTGTTAGACTTTATAAAATTGCAAAAGATTTTGTCAACATCCTTATTTGTACAATATTGTCAATAAAAAGTCCAATATAGTCCAACATAATGAGTACTTGGTATGAACTCATTTCAACTTTTACAGTCTTCCTCAGATGTAAGTCTATATTGTAAGGAGAGGTCAGCTTCTTAATCCAGCTCAATATTGTAATCGCCTTCATAATATCCTGGAATAAACCAAGTAAAAATTCATATGCAGTTGCATGAAAAGGTATTCATACTGTAATGATTACAGTTACAATATTGAGCTGGATTAAGAAGCTGACCTCTCCTTACAATATAGACTTACATCTGAGGAAGACTGTAAAAGTTGAAATGAGTTCATACCGAGTACTCATTATGTTGGACTATATTGGACTTTTTATTTACAATATTGTACAAATAAGGATGTTGACAAAATCTTTTGCAATTTTATAAAGTCTAACAAATTATATAAATCTTCTTAATAGTATTCACATCACAGGATTTTTTGTGTGTGTTTTCCTATTGGATACCTGTGACCCCTCTTGCTTTGCACAGGATGGGACAGCGTGACATGCAGCAGCTGCTTGCTATGCCTGTTGGGGGAGGCTGAGTGGTCACTTCTCTAGTGTTTGGGGATTGGCAGAATCATTTGCTTCCTAGGGTGCCAACAGTCCATGGGTTGGCCCTGTCCATGTCTCCCATGGTTTTTGTTTGCCTTTCTCTTTCATTTCAAAAGCCAATTCATAGTTGCAAAAAGTTTCCTTCTTCCCCCCCCCCCACCGCCCCCCTCCAGGGTAACTTCTATTATTTACTGTCTACTTAATTTGTTCCTGAGCATGTCCTACAACTGACTCCATGGGCGTAGACTTTCCAATTTTCCGGGGGGGGGGCTGAGAGAGCGTGTGACTGCCCCAAGGTCACCCAGAAAGTTTCCACGGCACAAGTCAGAATTTGAACCTGGGTCTAAACACTCTAAACCACTGCACCACACTGGCTCCCAGCATTTCATGAACAGGGAAATGCAGCCATGTGCAGTCCTCTGTTTCTAATGTCAGGATTTTTAAAAATCCAATCATTGTTATGCTTCTTTTACCAACTCAGAGTCTTCCAAGCTGGATAAATAAATCCCCACTGAGTCATGAAGCTCATTGGTTGACCTTGGACCCGTCACACTTTTTCAATGTATCCTACCTTACAGGGTTGTTGTGGAGATTAAAAAGGAGGAGTGGGCAGCCACTCTTATTTATTTATTTATTTCATTTGTTGCATTTATACCCCACCCTTCCCACAGGCGGGCTCAGGCTCAGGGCGGGTAGCACCAGAAGGATTGCATCATACAAAGCAGACACTTAAAACATTCAACTGAAAACAAGGTTACATTTTTCACTGGAGCTGCCAAGAATCAAACCTGGGCCTTCCCACATGCAAAGCAGTTGGCTTATGACATTTTCCAGAAAGTCCCATTGAGCGTAATGGGGTTCACTTTGGAAGGGGGGGGGAATACATATCAACAT